TGACAAGATAATGTTTACGACAATCATATATTTTCATATTAAATAAAATTTATTTGTAAGTAATTTTAAAATAACATGTAACACCCCAAATTCATATTTGCATAAAATCCACATATTTTTTATATAACATGAGATACAAATATACACATTGGTCCCAATATATACAAATTGCTACATACAAAAGTAGCTCTAAATTTTTCGTTCATACCAAATATATGACTTGTATATAACATATTCCGAAGTACATGCACATATTCAGCTTTCCAAAATCTATAGATGTAAAACAATCATAAGTTCATAATCCCCTTTTCACATTTTCCCCTTCCCTTTACCTTCCACCGATGTTTGTTCTGTAATGCACATTTTTTAACATAAATTGAAGGTTGAACCTCAAAGTCTAGTGAGTAATCCCCTTATTTACAATTACAGGGTGAAAATCACCGAAACACTTTTTGAAAAACAATTTTTGAAATGACAATATACAAATATCATTTAACGACATCAAACTTTTTTTGTCGCATCATACAGATGAGACAACTCCATTTTATCGCATTAGACAACATAATAATTAATTTGTCGCATCAAACTCATAATACACCAATCTTGTCGCACCTTGTTGATGCGATATTATAATTCTTCACATCATATGTATGTGATCACCTCTTTTTATCACATCATACTGATGCGGTAACCCAACTTGTTGCATCCAACAGATGCTATCACTCAAAAACTTATCACATCCAACATATGCGATAAACAAACTTGTCGCATCCAACAGATACGATAAACAAACTTGTCGCATCCAACAAATGTAATAAACAAACTTGTCGCACAATGTAGATGTGATAAACACCACTTTATCGCACCATATAGATGCAATAATCATAACTTCTTGCACCACACTAGTACGATAAACCCAACATGTTGCATCTCATTGATCCGATAAAGATAACACTCTAAATCAAAACCCAATCTCATCGTATTAGACACATGCGATAAAATCAATTCCATTGCATCCAACAAATGCGATAACAATAATCCCATGATCAAAAGATCATCATCTCCAGAAATTGGTTATTTACACATTTATCACAATATACTCAGCTCCTAATTATATCATCCTTACTACAAAGATATACTTAACTTCTGATTATGTCACCCTTATTACAAAATATACTCAACTTCTGATTATGTCACCTTATTACAATCAGTTGATAATCACATATCAAAACCCAAAAATTACGCTAATAAATAACATATAATCATAAAAATGCCCAAATATGAAAACCCACGGTTTCTTCATTAAAAGCAATTCGAATAATATTTTTAAAATAAAACTCATTTTATAATCACAAAGAGATCGAAGACTTTAACCAGCAACAAATATCAATTAATAATCAAGTAACTTTTTCCTTTTAATTTTGATCAAACCCAGAGCTCACACCACCTTTTTCTTAGCGAAACCCCAAGTAAAAGAAAATATCTCAAATATACACTTTTTAAATATAAGAGGCGGTGTACGCTTAATATTTTTAAATCAACTTTTAAAAAGGCACCCTTCGACTTTCAAATTTTTTCAAAAACAACCCCAAACTTTTCCACAAATAAAAATCCGGTTATCACATAACGCGTGTTTAGTTAAATATTAAAAATATATAAAATAAATAAAACATCATCTAAATACGATTTACGTAGATAATTATTAAACATAATACCCCGAATATCAGATAATACGACAAAAAAAAAACTTGGACCAGCAGGGATGGTCACGCATGAAAGTTTTATAACGTCGAGATGGATCCTAACCGAGACATGGCTTATCTTAATCGGGCTTAATCTTCATGCATCTCTAATCACGATCCATTTAACGGAATCTAATTCCTAACGATATAACAACGTATAACCTTTTTGGGTTTCAACTTCAACGTGTAACTTTCAAATGGGTCGAGAATCTTTTTCCATATGTCAATCTAGCTTGCAACAAACTTTATATTAAAAACACATTTTTATATAATAGTTTATTGTCTGTATGTCATCCGTCACAATACATTAAATAGTCAATATAAAAAGTCCGACAATAATACATTCATTCAAATATAAAGATGAGATTTTGTTGGATTTTAGCATATATTCTTTATGGATCATATTCGTTGACTACGGTTTTTACGCGGTTGGTTGTTTCAAATGTCGTTTTCTCGGTTTAATTTCTTAACGAAGAAGTTCTTAATTTTTCTAAACCTCGCTGATCACCTTTAATTTAGTATTATAAGGAGCTTTCCGAATTCTGATTTATTCTTGAAAAAGAAGTGGAAAAGATACAAACATCAAATATGTATGTATGTATGTATTAATTATAGGCCGTTTTCAAACGACATGATCGATCATATCCTTCGTCCATATATATATATATATATATATATATATATATATATAGAGAGAGAGAGAGAGAGAGAGAGAGAGGAGGGGGGGGGGCGGGGGAACCAATGATCGTGTGAGAAAGAGAGTTAAGATGAGAATTGTGAGAAGAAATTTGGATCATTTATCACCCTCCGCCCATGAATCACGCTTGATACTTGGATTATCCGATGCATCTTATGACAATGTGCATCCAAGAGTGTAGATATTTTCTTACGCGCTTCCACCTTAACTTTATTTCTCACCGAAACTCAATCCTAGGCGAAGGATCGTGTGAGAAGGGGGGCTAAGGTGAAAAGTGTAAGAAGGGATATAGACCATTGATTACCTTTAATCTCAAAACCCACCTATGAGTCGTGTTTGATGCAGGAAGATCAGGTGCATCTCGTTGCATCTTATCCTAATGTCCATCCAAGTATCGGGATCCCTTCTTGTGCTTTTCACCATAACTTCATTCTCACCAAAATCTAATCTAATATATATGTGGTTGGATTCAATGACCTTTTTATTTATAGAGAACATCATGAAACACTGTTATATTTTCAAAAGTGAGTTATTAAAATTGTGAATGTATCGTCATATTGGGTTAAGTTTACAAGTTGCACGTAATATAACATAATCTTTACACGCCGATGATGTTAATGTTACAATCTTCACTTGATATAATGTAACATTCATACAATATAAATTTACTTTAACTTATTCTCATGAAAACGAACATTTATTATCTGATTTGACTATAACTTTATTATAAATCAAGAACGAAAAAATTAATACATTTTCACACTAAAAAATAAAAATACTAAATTTAAGTAGGCTTTTTTTTAAACGAAGAGCTTTAAAAAGCTATATACATACAATAATAATTATTGTAGATTTGAAATAGAACTTATTTATTAATAAATAATACTAAATATTTAATATGATATATATTATATATAGAGAGAGTTCGTTTCAAATGTAGCCCATCACATTTGTACAAAACAATGCAACTTAATAATTGAGATATTTATGGAAATGATGATAGTTCATTTATTATGATTTGAATATTTATGGAAGATGAATAAGGTTCATTAATTATAATCAATACTTTGTATTAGGAAACAATCAAACTTCTATGAAATCACATATTCATCAAATTAAATGGATGTTTGAGATTGAGTTGTATTTGTTGTACAAATGTAAATGATTGTATAATAACACACATCTCTCTCTCTCTCTCTCTCTCTCTATATATATATATATATATGGGGTAGGTTTCGATAAGAAATAGAGTTATGGGTGGAACAAAACCTTTATATATATATATATTTATACCTTCAATTACTTTTATTTACCTATTTTTATCATCATGACCAAAACTTTACCAAATTCATGCATGTAAAAGTGGTTAAATATATAAGAGTTCGTGAAAGTAACCAAAAGTGAAGATACTTAAAGTAATTGAAAAAAAAATGAATTTAGATTAAAAAGTCAACTTATTCAAAGATTCATAAGTTTTTCATCAAAACTGTTATTCTCACACAATCCCACGTTATATCATATAAAGTGTCGGTTTAATTAATAACACTAAATATCATGAAAATGTAAGAAATTAAAGGTTAAAGAAACTTTTATGTGTTAATCATTGAAAAAAATCATTTGAAGATACATATGTAAACCCTAACTTAAAAGCTGCTATTCTCACACGATCTCTAATTTAAAATTAGAGACTATTTTTACATCTACATCTTGAAATGAATTTTATTTTCAATAATTCACATATGAAATATTTGTTATTTATACATTTATTTAAACCCTAAAACATTTGTAGAGACACATACTTATAATTTGTACAAAATGATGGTTATGGAGAGAAGGAATAAGCATAATGTTAAAGGAATATAAAAAATGGGCATTTGCCCATCATCATCCACATCTCTTGTAAAGTACCAAGATTCATTATTCCTAGGCAATAAAAAAGCATCTCATCCTCATCCCCATCTCCACATATATATATATATATATATATATATATATATATATATATATATACACATATATGTATATATTCATTTAAAATAATATTAAATAATAAATAAATAAAAAGAAAGATGAAAGGTGTGTGTGAAGGAATAGAATCAGACCAAATGGCAGTTTCCCCATCCACAACTCACCCCTCCCAAATCTATCCTTTCAGATTTGAAAATCCCACATCACATGTTCTTTCCATAATCTCAATAATTATGGCCACTTAAATTGCAAAAAGATAACACTGATCATGACCTCACCATGCATTTCAACCTTTTACATCTAAAGTCTTGCCATTTCAAGACTTAATGGGCATGCTTATGGAATCAAGATTCATACCCACAACCTCCAAACTCATTTACTACATGCAACCTAACTGCATACTCTCTTTTCTAACCCTAGGTGTCTGAACCAATCTCGATCGATCCCATGAAACCCTGAGTTCATGTGCACCACAACCGATCCCACAACAACCAAGAAAATCCCCAGTGATCTTGACGACACTTAAACTAATCACATCAAACAAGAAAATGGAACTGTGGGTGCAGAATATGATTTATATATAATAATAATAATAATAATAATTGAAAGGGATAATATTAATTCAAATCATTGCTACATCAGTTATCATAAATCCTCACCTCCACCTTTTAATCTCTACTTCACCCAACAAAAGGGGTTAAAATAACAGACCAAAACCCTTGAGATCTGCACCTCAAGAAAAAAGGAAAGGGGGGAAATTTACTGTTAATAAATATTAAAATTAATATTGGTGGTTTTTTTAGAAAATTTCCTAAACTGGGTTACCATTTAAAAGCACACCCAGATGGTCTTTCAAGATTTCTTCTTCTAAGTTTTTTTCTAATTTCTGCTTGTATTAATTAAATTAAAAATAATCAAGTTTTTTGGAGAAAAACTTGTTATGTTCCTCCTTTTTGTTGCCAGCCCAAAAATCAAAACTTGTTATTTACCTCCTTTCAAGATTTCAATTCTGTTGAGCTACAAGATGATCCAGTTGCATTTGCTCAATCCATGCGCTTAGTGCAGATTGATCCATCTGTTCAATTTGGGTGTTTGAATTAGAGCCGCTGCCGCCACCATTGCCGCTGCCTTCACCACCGGAACCACCAAAAGCCGCCAGCTTTTCCTTCATTTCTTGGGGTGTTTCTTTCACAAGAGATTGAACCCATGACAGATCAGGCTCCTCCCCGTTATTCCCACCATTCTCAAACGACGATGACCTCCTAAGCTTCCCAAAGTCATCAGCATTAACCCCCCAATCAGCTTTCTCACCTGTTGGACCCCATTTCGACCAGGGGTCAACCGCCGAGCCCAAGATAGCACCAGATCTTGATCCAAGTTCACGTGAGCTCAGGCTCCTAAACTGTTGCTGATGCTGGTTCTCACGAGCCAGCATAGAAACTCTTGAACTCATGGGTGAAATGGGCTCCACGCTTCTAGGAGACATCCTCCCAGGTGATTGAACCGCAAAAGATGCATTTTTTGGCGAGAAATTTGTGTTGATCGGTGATAACATACTTTGCTGCTGCTGAAACTGGTTGAAAACAGACGAATTGTGTCTCGGCGAATAAACAGATTGATCAGAAAATCTTGGAGACGAGCTCTCGGCTGCAAAAATGTCATCCAGTTTTGTAGGAGTTAGAATCGATTGATTATGAGCAGCTCTTTGTTGCCTAGATAACTCGTTAAAAAGCTGAAGATTCAAATCTTGATCAGATATATCTCTAGCATTAAGAGACGATCTTAATCGGCTCGACTGAAGATTGCTTCCTGGCAAGTGCAATGACGGCACATTTGGCTGTGGCCAGTTCATGTTCGACATGCCGTTAGCCGATGGAGACATGGGTGGGGTGAAAGACGAAAGCGAGCCCGGCATCAGGCTCATGGCTGCAGCAAAATCTAATGCGTTTGGACCAGAATTCGTTGACCGTGGAGACGGAACCGCGGAGCCGGTGGATACAAATAAAGGGCGAAGCTCGTCTTGTGTGTGAGCAAAGAAACAGACTCTTCGATTGCAACTTGTTCCGTCTTTACAGAGCCGAGTCCGGTATTGAGCCGGATGCAGCCAACATTCGAAAACCCCGTGAGCGTACTCACACATATCACCTCTTCGACACGTCCCTTTTCGGAAATCAGGACATGGGACACAGCTATAATGGTACTTTCTCGGGTCCCGTCTACGAGCGTTTTCGCCCGGATGAACGAACGGGCATTCAGTCCAATCATGAGAGTAAGCCCGTGAACACGGGCGGACCTTAAAGGAGTACATCCGGAACTCATCGGTCGAGTAGATACTGTTCTTGATATCGGGCAAAGATGGATCAACAGGGTATTCTCTCTTGTTGTCACTGAAAGTTGAAATCTTTGGAGAAGAAACCAAATCGGATTCCGACACCGGGGAACCATTTTCAGGCGAAGGCGATCGGAGATTCGAATCCAAAAGGGAAGATTCACCATCGACTCCAAGAAGTTCTTCGAGGGTCTTTTTCTTATCTGGGAACTTTGGAGAGACCACAATCACATCCACCGGCCTAAGCCCGTTAACATCGATCAAATTTGGATCAGCACCGGCCAGTAAAAGCAGTTTAATGATCTCAACGGCATTCAACGATCCGCCAGATGCAGCGCAATGAAGAGCAGTGGTCTTATCAACACCACACGATCGGTTCACATCAGCTTTCGATTGAGAAAGAATCAACTTCAAAACATCAACACTTCCATACATAGCAGCCACCATCAATGGAGTCCTGTGCTCAAGAACCATTTGTTTCGAACCCTTTTGGCGGCCATACCACAATCCAACCTCATCTAAACCAGAAGGGTCAGACCCAATCAATTGGCTGAACCCCTCAATATCGTTATTTGCAGCAAGTTCAAGCAAAGTAGCAAAAGCATCTCCAGTTACAACAGTCAAGTGGCTCATGTTTCTTTTAGATGGCTAGAAAAGTCGTAACCAAAAAAAAAAAGATTAACAGATCAAACTTTATATAAGAAACCCACAAATAAACAAGAACTAAAGTTTCATCTTGCTCATCAAAGCAATCAAAATGACCAAAAATAAAGAAATCTTGGAGATTATTGATATTAATGTTCTTGATAGATGCGGAAAACTGAAAAACCCTAAATCCTAATGCAAAAATGGGGGAAAAGGTCAAATCAGAAGGCAGAACTGCTTAATGATAACAAATGTAATTGAAGATGTAGACAAGAAGAGATGCTAAACCCTTGTGTACATAAATAGAAAAAAAGAAACTGGGGCCATGGTTAGATGATAATAGGCACTTAGATAAAGAATGAAGACAAAATCCTTTGGTTTTTAGAATAGCATGATTGATCACCAAACCATAGATGTACACATAACTAACCATCAAAATTTTCCATAAAAACAAATAAATTGTGTAGCAAATTTCATGCTGTTGGTTCTTTTTTCTTCAATTTACCAAAAATCAAACCAAAATACAGTCTTTTGAACCCCTCATTTAACCCCTAAAGTTTTGGCATTCATCCTCAAGAAAGCATGGCATATAAAATGGGTACTCAAGATAGTCAAAATCAAGATGAAAAGCTCAATGTTTATCCACATATCAAGAACAATGAATCCTGTAAAAGAACCCCCAAAAACCCATGAAGAGATAAGCATCAAAATCTTGAAATGAAAAACAAAACCCCCAAATCGAAAAAGGTGTTGTACTACACGCTTATCGAGTTGTACTTTTTTGCTCTAGAAACAACGAACATGCTCCATCAATGCCATTCTTGACGAATAAAACACAAAAATCACATTCCTCAACCGATCAAAAAGAAGAAAGATGATAACAAGTTACAAAAAAAACACATACCAAACGGGTGTTTCAAAAATGCTCGGATAAATTTCATCTGAAACACACACAGAGTGCGTGCTTTTTGTGTGTACGGACATATACAGATAGAGACATATTTCAAAAGGGTCATCGGAAAAACGAAGATCGGAGAGTCTAAACAAGTAAAAGAAGCACAAATTACTCGTCGGAGAAGAACAGAAACTTACCGGAGATTTCCCGTTTACTTAATCATCGAGGGTTTTTGAGGGTTTTCAGATCTAAGAATCAAAGAAAGTGAAAGACTAAGAGAGAATCAAATCTAGCAATTTCTGAAGGGACAATCAGAAGAAGAGAGCTTCTTGCCTCTTCGCCATTTCCTATGCTCTCTCTCTCTCTCTCTCTCTCTCTCTCTCCCCTCTCTTCCTCAACCGAAATAAATTATTACACTGAAATGAAGTTTTATAAAGGGCCTACATGTTTAACAAGATGACTACATTGGCCACTTCAGTTTAGAAATTGACATTTAAGTCCCTTTTATTTTTTTAGAGAACTTGCTACATGTAAAATTGTCTACAAATTTTGGTATAACATTGTGGAACCCCCCCCCCCCCCCCGTTTTTAATTGCAAGCATATCGTTTTGTGATGTGTATAATAAAAAAAAAAATGCTTTCTAGAAAGACTGTTTTATCGTATCATATGCTTTTTCAACCAAATTTTCTCTATAAGATATGTTGGTTAACAAGTAGAAATATGTCTGTCAGTAGTATAATGAGTTTAATGAGACTCAGTGACTCGCATCTTGTTCAATGAGTTATAATGACTATTTGTTTATGACATAATGATATAAAAAATGGCTTTTTCAGTAAGCTTCTAGGATGAAGCTTTATGTAGAAAGTTAAGTTTTTTATGTAAACTTGCTAATCTCAATAAAAAAACATGTTTCTTTCATCTATGAGAAAACCATTCAAAAGAAAAACCTTCTCAATATATACAAACAGATTAATCTATAGAGACAGTTTTATCCATACATAACTTAATGAAAAACCAACCAAACAACCCTTACGAAAAGTTACATATCGTTTTTTATTGTTTGTATCAGAAAGTCTTTATTTATGCATTCTCGATAAAACCTTTTAATCAGATACAATCATTTACTTCAGTTATGGTGCATAATTAAAAACAAAATACAATAACATAAATAAATCAACATAAGAAATAAATAAAGTTTGGCATATCGATCACCACGTTATCTAAAGTTGTGTCATTAGATTATAACAACATCGTGCAATTTGTATCGTGTAAAAGAGGCATTTGTGAAATATACAATAACAAAAGGGTGGTATGGTTCTTGTTTAAGAAGTATAGGGGTGGTATTTGTAATATATCCATACATAATGCTCTCTTTTTATTTTGTTGAAAGAAACGCCTACCCAATAAAAGCGGGATTATGTATTTCTTGTCTTTTTCTTTCTCTATTAATTTGCGGGATTATTCGTGTACCTAATTAAATTTTCATAATAAATATAAATAAAATATAATAATTATATTATGTGAATATATTTTTACTATTTTATATCTCATTAAATTTTATTTTCTCAAAAATACAAATACTAAAATCAGAATATTACGTACAAAATAATAATTTATACAAAAAACATTATTTTTTAAATATTAATATCGGTCTCTGAATCGTTAAGAGATGAATCTTGTTTGGCAAAAAATAAATTTGTCTCTTAATAGTTCTAAAATCATTTGAATGATTTTGTATCTAGGGTCCATTCTTAACCATTCAGCACCCTAATTTCATTGCAAACAATTATCAGACAATTATATTTTATTTTGCATTATATTATGAGAAATTATTAATCATTCCAATCACTTAATCATTATGTATCAAACTATTCAGCAACTACCACACAACCCGTTAATTTTGAAATAAAAATTATCATAAAATATAATTTAACTTATAAATAAAGCAAATCATATCGTTAATTTAATACCCATATTAACGTATATGTCTTTTTTTCAAAATTTCAATCACAGATATATGTATTCACATACAAATACATATATTCATATAATATTTTATTATCTTATATAATATTTATAATTTATTAATACATTTTAATTTTTTTTTAAAGTAATTTATAACAAATTTATTAATGAGATTTTATATGATTTACCCCAATATATGGATAGGAGAGCTATAAAAATTTGTAGTTGCATACGTTACATAACACAACATCGTTTTTTTAAGTTTTTAAAATAATACATGTAAAGTTACAGTTGTTAAAGAAATGTAACGTACATTATCTTGTATTATAACGTCAACAGGTCAAGTTTGAAGACCTCTATTTTTTATAGTATTTTTTTTATTAACCTAGATATACAACCCGCTATGCGAGCCAACTAATTCCAAGACGACCACCTGCTTTACAGATAGTCAGGAGTCACCGCATTTGAACATCTGTGCCCACAAAGAGATTTTTATTCCTTCTTGATACAAATATGAGTTTATAAAAGCGTTTTGGTGATTATTCACCCTATAATAGCAAACAAAGGGATTCATCACTATACCTCAAGGTCTAACTCTTATTTTGATGTTTTGAAAATGTGCATTGCAGGTCGGGCACAACCAGATGATAAGAAGAAATGGAAATTGTGAAGAATTATATTTGCTTGCATGTCAATATGGAATGATTTGTTATCTTTAGTTTTAGGAATACTTGTTATATATACAAGTTTTGTATAGATATTTTGTGGAAAAATTTGGTAGCTACTTTGTAATGTAGCTTTTGTAGATATTGAGACCTGATATGTAAAATATATTTCTTAATATATGAAAATATATGTTTATATACAAATGTGATTCTGGGGTGTTACATGTGGCATCAAAGACAAGTCTTGCGTTAAGGCGTACTACAACAACGACCATAACGATCTTTTTAAAACATTAGACTTAATAAAAGTATTCGATTGCAAATCAAATCTCTGAGATATTTAAAATAAAAAATTAACCAGTTTTACTTAAACAAACCATAAAGGTGTTTGGATATCGTTTGGAAAACGATCCTATAGTATTTGAAATGTATGTGTGTGTTTACACTACTTAAAGTTACAGCAATTAGATAATCAATCATTTGAATATATGATAAATATTAATTATTTAAATACATTAACTAACCAAACAAACATTTTTGTTGTTGTTGAAGTGCTGAGTTTCAGTGAGAATAGAAGTTATGATGAAAAATGTAAGAAGAGATCCCCACCATTTAATCAATTCTAATTGAATGTCAACATTAATGAGGTGCACCGAGATGCATTAATTCAATTTTCTTCTAAAGCGCAATTCATGAGTGGACATGAGATTAAAAGTGATCAAGAGATCCCCACCCTTTTTATATCACCTTTTTTGTCACCTTTTCAGATAATCACATGACTCCAATTAAGATATATATATATATATATATATATATATATATATATATCATAAAACCATAAGGGTGGTGCTTGATTGGTTTGAACTTGGCTCCAAATGTCAAAAGTACTAGGAGATCTCAGGTTCAAATCCAAGGAGGAATAAAAATCCTCTTGTGGCCACGGAGGTTCAAATGCGATGACTCTTGACTATCTACAAAGCAGGTGGTCGCCTTGGAATTAGTCGGTTCACATAACAGGTTAAATATCCAAGTTAATTAAAAAAAATCATAACCTTCTACCTGATTTTAATGCATATGAATCATTTAGAACTCAGACATTATTTGAGCATTTCATATTTAATTACATATCATTAAAACACGACGACTAAAATATAATATCATGTCATCATTTATTATCAATAATAGAGATTTATAATTAATATTTGGTAAACTAAACAAAAATATAATACTTTGTTCTGATTCCTTATTTGAATAACGTAATTTTAAAACGTTAATTTTAAATAACTGGTGTAAACATTAATCGATTGTCATGTTGACACGGTGAATAATGTGACATACAACTCATTATAATTTGTTGATGTGAATATATATTTTAAATAAATTATAGTTTTATTTTATTTTCTCTAATTTCTATTATATAATTTAAAAAATATTATAGTATACTGACACGGCAGATCCCACAACCATCTCTCATCGGCCAACATCTTTTAGGCGTCGAGAGCTTCTAGCAGTCTGGCCCTTTCACATCCATTACTTTTATATAGGGGTGAGCAGCGAAACCGGGTATCCACTTGCGGAACCGGAACTATCGGTTCCGGAACCGATATGAGTGGTTCCGGTTTCTAAAATACAGAATCGATTGAGAATGGTTCCGGTTCTCAATTTTTCGGAACCGTTACCCGCCGGGACCGGGTACCCGGAAGGCCGGAACCGGCAGGTACCCAATATTTTTCAATTAAAAAAATAATTGATTTTTTAATACTAAATTTAAATTAGGTCAAGAACTTATAACTCTAGATTAGATTTTTGGTCCCGCCTCTACGCCTCATCGACTCATACTCTCAGGCCTGAGGCCTCTCACAGACCGTCTTCATCGAATTATACTATGTAATCGTTAAACTTTCAACATTTACTATTAGTCTATTATGATTTGTAATCGTTAAACAATATTTGTAACCATTATTCCGTATAATTTGTATTATTGTTTATTTATTTAGTGTTTTGTCAATGTTTTATTTTTTATTTATAAATAACAAAATTTTAATATTTTAGGAAGTGGGTACCCATAACCGGAACCGGTTCCCGGCATTTCCGGTTCCAAAAATTCAAGAACCGCTCTAACCGGTTCCAACATCTCAAAAACCGTCGGATCCGGTTCCTGTCAAATAGGGTGGGTACCCGCCTATGCTCACCCCTACTTTTGTAATCCTAATTACACACCTAAGGGTCGGAGATGAAGGCCGACGAGAGAAACCAAAGATGGTGGTCGACGGACGAGATGAGATCAAGATTATAAGGCAACTTAATCTTCGCAGTTGGTTGCTAATTAGAACAGGGGTGGATTTAAGGGGTTCTAGTGGAAGCATACATGCAGGTGTAGTTTTTTTGGTTTAGCGTAGTGTAGACATTTTTATAGACTTTTAAGGTGCAACCATAGAAATATTGTTTAGAATCAAAAGGACACGGAATCAGTGTCCTTGAAAGCAGTGACAAATCCATAAACTTTTATAGTTGGGAGCATACTTAGGGGTGTCGGAAAAATTTCGAAACTGAATAACTCGTCCCAGCTAAAACGGTTTCGGGTTTTCATTTTCGGTTTAAACGGTTCGGTCAACCAAATAAAAATAACTCATCCGGTTCGGTTTTCAGTTATTTTTTATTATTATTTTGGTTAAACTAACACATTATACTACTATTTATATATTTTTCTATATGGTTTCCAATTAAATCAAATGAACACATTACACGTTGAAACAAAACTCAACCGGTTCATAGTGAAGAAGAACAAACAATAATACCAAATTGTAATAAAAACATGTTGGCACTTGGCATCAAACCAGCTCGTAACAAAACTACTGAACACAATGTGTAATAGTTAATAATTAATAGTCGCTAGCAAGAAATTGGAGGGCACACGAAATTATATTCAGTTAGAATAAAATAATGACTAAAAGATAAAGCAGTAGCAAGCCCTAAATCAAAATTAAATATCAAGTTCAATAATTCTAAATTAAAAACCAATTAACAAATAGAAAACTATATAAAAAATGGATGAAAACCAGTTTCTCTGAATCATAAATCAGAATAAGAAATTAAAAGCAAGAAGTGTTGTAGTGTTTTACCAAAGCAAATAACCAAGATGGAGAAGAAGAACCAAGATGCAGAAGACAAAATCGATTTCCGACGTGTTTAGGGTTTTAAAATCAATTTCAGGAGAGTTGACATGAGACAAGCAGGACAACATGTATGAGTGTGGTTGTTCTCGTCCTCGACCTGCTCGTTTGGAGACTAATCACTAGAGTGGTCGTAGACACGCGTGCATGCAAATGGATTAGTCATTAATGGACCGATTAAACTCTCATGGAAATCACATTTGGTAGTTGGGGGACCAACAAAACAAACTCATAAAAGGAAGAAAAAAAATGTATTAGCCTTCTTTGAACATTTTAGTTGGGGGTCTCTGATCCCTATAAAAAATTCCATTAGTTTTTCAGTTCTTTATTTTCATTTTTTAAATCATTTTTTAAACTATTGTTGACAACTGATATATGTATTTGTTGCAATCACAAAGCAAACAGTAACAACCTCACAACCCTTGTTCACCAGCAAAAACCACCAACACCGTTGTCATTATCGTTACATCGTTGAACCCTGCCACCATCTTTGTCAATTTGACATACCTTCATCGACCAAAATAAACCCATTCCCATCCTTACCGAAGTTGACTTTTACCTTAAATCTCCGTCAACTTCTTATGTCATGCCGCTACATCCAATGACACTTGCCACCACTTCTTCACCATGCCAATGGGATACGGGGGACCACTCTACCGATTGTATGCACGAACTGATTTGCCGCCCCCATGAGACCAGTGTAGGGGGGCCAACTTAGAGGATGGCGTCTACCCTTTTATTTACTTTCCAATCATGCACCATCATTTTTTTCCAGCCAATCATTAGTCCCGTCCCACCTTCTTGTCACAACCAAACTTCCTACCCTCGCTTAGAAGTGGTTTGATATTCTTCATAACGTTTTTACCATTGTTTTGATCGATCTGCCAATTCGATTTAGGTCGATTGTGAAATCAATCTTCTACGAAAGCTCTATAAGGGTCAGTTGTGGGCACAACCTTGCCAAAAAAATCACGATAACGAGGGTTAAGAGGACGATTTAGGACTTTTAATGTACATTTTGCACAATATAAGTTTTCTTGCTTTAAAATTAAACACAATAACTAAAATTTAATGAACTCTTGAAAATATACAAAAGTAGCCATGTACTTTATAGGGCTAATGTGGTCATTCTTTTCTAAGCAATGATCAGCATATAATTTACTTTTGTCACGTTAACATAATTTGTAAAAGTTCAACGACTAAAATTGTACAATAAAGTTATTAATTAAAACAGACATTTATGAAATTTGGTTACAACTCAACCATATTAGTCCTATTTATTTCACATAGGCTCCGATATATATTTTAGAAAAACACGGGTTCAAACGTCTTTTCATATTCTTATTAGTTGTAGTTATATCCTTACATGTTTTATGAACATGCTTGTTGTACATAACTATTGCTCGCAAATATATGCATGTACACTTGACCTCGTCAAATACACGCATATACAGTGCAAATACATGCACATAACATCTTTTTTTGTGAAAAATTGCAAAGGGCATACCCTTAAACCACACCTATTGTGACATCCCAGTTTTTAGAGGTCGTAATGACTTAGAAACCATCATCACAATGCAGATTGACATGAAAAAAAGAGTAAACTACGTTTGAGTCCTCCTGGTTTGCTGAAAATTGCTACTTTTGTCCTTTGTCTTTCGAAGTTATGATTTCGTCCATATGATTTGTAATTCGTTTACGTTTTCGTCCTTCTGCTCAAGTTCATGCAAAGACTCCTTAAGTTCTTGAGGTCACATTTTGGAGCTTGTGAGCTTGCCTTCGAGGTCGTACACACTAACAGTGGCCTCTAGTTCGTATCAGACTACTATCCATTTTTTTTTACCATAAGACATCACTAAAATCCACTCGTCTTGTGAGCATGTGGGAACTCTCAAATTTACTCTTTAAAATGGTCCTTTAAGAAGATAGAAGATATCCCAACACACACACGCACACATATATTATATATATATATATATAGATATATATATATATATATATAGATAGATAGATAGATAGATAGATAGAGAGAGAGAGAGAGAGATAGAGTGTGTGTGTGTGAGAGAGGGGGGGGGGTAAATGGTCCAAGTTTATACAAATGTGGGACTCTAACACACCCCTTTTAACGAAAGCGCTAGATGGACACAAAATTGTCCAACAGTGTCGATTAGGGGCAAGACAGGTGAGGAGGTTAAACAAGTATATACCGCCCTAGAGTGTTAAGTTCCTGTAGTGATAAACATTGACTTTGATTCCCACTTACATAAATGAGAAATGATCCAAGTCTAATTGATGTATGAATCTAACACACCCCCTCCAACAAAGGTGCTAGGCGTACACAAATTGTCCCATAGTGTCACAAAGGGTCAAAACAGGTGAGAGGGCCAAAAGAGTGTATATTATCTCAAAGTGTTGAGCTTCTAGAGTGGTAGTCCTTCGTTTTGATGAACATAATAGTATGCAAAATTCATCAGATTCCAACATACATAAAGGATAAATGGTTCACATATAACCAATATGAAACTAACACGTTTAATATACATTTAAGCCCAATGTCTTCACCCATCACATATCATCAACATATAACAGTCAACATCATTTTGGTGGTTAGACCATCTCTCTACTATTTCATACGTTCTAAAACCCAAACAGCCTATGGCATGTAACTCAGTTGGCAACATAATAGGGTGACTTCCCCCCAAATACAAGACATGCCACTGGTTCGATCGTGGGCCCGCTGCTAATCTCAATCATTGAGTGAACCAAAAATGCCACCTCATATTGATGGCAGGTGGTTTCCGTGTAGAACCGATTAGTGTTACTGTTAACCAAGTTTTTCCTGAAATTATAAAACCCAGACACTCATCCATCGGGATTGGGCACCGGAAATCACAACCTACAATACTACACATGTTTTCCAAAAAACTAATTTAATTGGAGGCCCATTGCTACAATTATCAAATATCACTGGGCCATAAATTGATTACTTGGGCCTTAACTTTATATTCTAAACATCTTTGTCGACAGGGTTATAAATTGACCTAGGGTTTCGATTTCATCTGCCGTCTACCGAACATCACTACTGCAAGAAGGCAGAGCCGCCGTCCTCATTGCCGGAGCAATTCCGTAATCTCTACAGGTTATCATTTCATCCGTTTATTTGTCAAATTTGTTGTATTATCTGTGATCACATATGTTATGCGTGTTATCTATATCTTGGTCGAATCGGTACTACGTCTGCGAAAGTTTTTGTGTAATGATGTCTGTATACTGTTGAAATGATGTTAGTATTGCAATATTTGCGGATTTTGTGGTTTTTTATGGAGGTTAGGTTCTGTATTGTATACATTACTGTTTCATTTTTGCTTATTTATGCTCGTTCTAGTTACTTATGTATATATAGTGTTGCGTGATAAGATTAGAAGTTTTGTCTCACTAGAAACGAGTGTTGAATTTGGTAATTTGTAAATATTTCGTAGCTGCTACCATGTTTATATTTAGTTTAGTTCAATATATATTGCATGTATGGTTCACAATGCACACTGACACATTGGGGTATCATGTTCCGTAGCAGTTGTTACTTCTTAGAAGAATGTGATTTGGTTTAGAGTTTTAATGCTCAGTTCGATCTTAGGCTGGTAGACATTATTGATTAAAATTGTGTTCAACAGTAGCAAGAAGATGGCGTATGCAGCGATGAAACCAACAAAGCCAGGGCTAGAAGAGCCCCAAGAACAGATTCACAAGATTAGGATTACTCTTTCATCCAAGAACGTTAAGAATCTTGAGAAAGGTTCTATGTTTCTTCTACTTCGTTTAATTCAATGTTATTGTAATTAGACCCAAAACTGCTCTTCTACTTACCCTTGTTTATGCAGTTGCATTGTCCAAATTTTGGTTCTAATTGTAATGCTTCAATTTCATTTTTAGAGCATTAAATTAAGCCTTTTTATAGCATTCTTTGCTCAATGCTTAAAGATGATGGTTCTACCATGCAGGAAAACTGTTTTTTTGGTATCAGTTAATGTTGCAGAAGAAATAACTAAACTACCTTGAACTGATCGTTTGGTGTCTGACTTTTAATGTTGTATTACTGTTTGTTTAGAATTTTAATAACTCGTTTTGGTTGGCTTTACAACAGTGTGTGCGGATTTGGTTCGTGGTGCCAAGGACAAGAAATTGAGGGTCAAGGGACCAGTTAGAATGCCAACCAAGGTTCTGAATATCACAACTAGGAAGTCCCCTTGTGGTGAAGGTATGGACTTTTATTTTTATTTGGTGCTAATTGGTAGATTAGAACTTTGATTTACTACAATTTCATGTCATTTTTTCTTATATGAGAACAATATTTACAATTGAAATGTTTGCTGTGTCTTTGAAGGAAACCAAGGAATTATTATTGACGTCACTTAGAAAAAATGAACTATTGGATTAAAGTTGATACCGCTTGAACTTATACTTGATCTTTTTATTAGTTATTACAACCGAAAATTTGATAGGCAATGCACAAGGAAAACCCAACCATTGATGTTCACTACAAACATTCTTACCCAAGAATACTTCATGAGTTACAAATGACAAAAGTCATACCATGACATGGCTACATGGGATCAATACATAATGCTCATTCTCCCATGATTGATTTGTTATATCAAATGTCGAAAAACCAAGAGACTCAAATTTTGAAGCAACTCTATATAACCCAAAAAACCATAAAATTTGAACGCCAAATTTTAGATGATCATAGGTGCTCCTGATTGATGATAAGACACTTGGATTCATGTGAATGGCTTATTGGGTGAGTATGAATAATAAAACCAACTATAAAAACATTATCCTAAAAAATTGAATGCGAAAGTGATTGCTGAATTTCCATGTGGTTGTACCCTTGAGTGGTGCAGGCTTGCTTTCAAACATTATGCTAATCGGTAAATTCTGTAAACTTGTTATGCTCAGTTTATATTTTTGTCTATATGACAAATTTATCACACTCTAAAGTCTTCTAATTTCTCAAAATCCATTTCATCTTTTTATTCCATTTTCTCTCTACTGGTTTACTATGGGCTTGTGGCTGTAGTCCTTAGAGCAGGAATTTTTTTATTTTAATGGTTATTTTTCTTCAAAACTGTATTTTCCTTTGGATATACATACACTGTAGGGTATATATTAATGTTTTGGTCATGCTTTTATTTTGTGTGTGTTTGTTTGACCATAATTTTTTTTGTGTATTCCTGTATCTATGAACATATTATGTTGTGCATCCTCCACAATGTCTTTCTTTTACGTCATGATATGCTTTCGATCTTCTCCATCCCAAATTAAATGTCCACAATGCAAAGGAGACAGATTTGGAAATGACGATTTTACCCTTAATAATAGAGGCAATAATGAATTTCTGCATCTCAAGACGAAGGATAGAATTGGAAAGTAGGCATTTACTTTTGAAAGTGGATAATTTTTTTTGGACTAACTAAAATAGAAATGTGGTTTAGATGTTGAATTGGTAATTGTAGTTACTCGTGATGCTTATTTTTGATGACCAATATTCAAGTTCTGTTTTCGATTTGATGTTTTTACAGGGACAAACACATGGGACAGATTTGAGCTTCGTGTCCACAAGCGTGTCATCGATCTTTTCAGCTCACCAGATGTCGTGAAGCAAATCACCTCCATCACAATTGAACCCGGTGTCGAGGTTGAGGTTACCATCGCCGATTCTTAGATTTACCGAGTCTTGTGTTACTATGTTCCATGTTGGGTAAGAATGTCTTTTTCGTAGGATTAATACCTTTAAAATTTTGGAAGTATTTGACCGGAAAAAAATATTTAAGAGTTGTGTTTATTTTTATTTTTTGTATGTTTCATCAACTTTATGCATTTCTATATCATATCCCCACTTTAGCAATTTATATTGGTTTCATGTAAGAGAGATTTTGGTTACCCATGTCCAACTAGTGTTGGTTCTTATTTCATTTTTGCACGAGATGGGATGTTCACAGAAACAACTGCTCCGTAAGTCAGGGTTAGGTCTGTATACATCCTACTACCATGTGACCCTTCTTTCAAGTAGGATATGTTGGTTCCATTGCGTGTGCTCGGGGTAGAAGTTTTGTGCTAGTAATCGCCGGTCAGCCATATGGCGGTGAATCCGTTCCCGGGCCTTGTACACACCGCCCGTCACACTATGGGAGCTGGCCATGCCCGAAGTCGTTACCTTAACCGCAAGGGTTTGGTTAGGTTAAGTATGGTCGACTGGTGTGGTGGAGGGTCCATGGTTTAGGCCCTATCTAGCATAGCAGCATGAGGGTGCTTGGTTGGGTTATGATCTTTTGATAGGTTTTTATTAATACCATAATCTTGTGACATGTTTGAATGCCACTTTTTAATAAAAAAATGTTTCATATTTCATAATCTAAACAGAAGAATACCTAAAGATATGTCAAAATGGCATGGTTTTTGAAACCTGCTGTGTTTATGAAGTATGCATATACGACGTTTGTAACGCCGTCAACACGGCATGCTGCTCTTTCAAACTCTGTTAGGACATTGATTTGAAATAACAGTTATTGCAATGGTAAAGCGATGGTTTATATAATGATTAGAATTAGAATTAGTGTTCGACATCGTACAACTACAACATATAAATTTATGTAAATAACGTGATATTTGGTTTTAATGAATATTTTAAATAAATGGACAAAGTTAGATTACTAAAATAATATTATAATTCAAAAAATTTAACTATTCAAATCTTATTATACAATTCAATTTTTTACCATCTTTCTTTTTGTTCATAAAGTTCAATTAAAATTTCTTTATATCGAATTTTTTGTAAGATATGAATCAAATGCATACTTTAGTCAAGTAGCCATTTAATTTTCAAATGCGTATCTTCACCTTTTATATATTCGTAATCATTAGGGGTGTAAATGATGTGAGTCGAAACCCAATTTAGATCTTCCTTTTTGTTCTTAAAGTTCAATTAAATTTTCAATAGGTGTGTTGGTTCGAGTTCGAGCTTGAGAAATAGTTATCGAGTTCGAATCAAACTTTGATTTTTACTACTTCCGAGTTTTCGAGTCGAGTTCGAACTTAAAAATTGGGTTTCGAGTTCAAGTCGAGTATAGATTTACACAATTCAAATATCATAATATATTTCATACATCCATTTAGAGTTAAATTATTTTTAACCAAATTAGTGAGAGCTACAATTTGCGCATTTAAGGCGGTGATAACATAAATCTCATGAACACCCGATGCAACAATGGCACAAGGGTTTGACTAGTCATTTTTATTATTGGCAACTTTCTGTAAAAAAATCATATCTTTCATTACAAGTCTTAGCCGTGAAAGCATCATTTGCCGTAGTATCGAGAATGATTCTAGTATCATTAGAAAGACTATTATAAAATGATTCTAATTGGATGTAATAGGGGATTACATGATGAGGGCATTTCCGAAGAAGTTCCTTAAATCTCTCCCAAACATTTGAGACTGCTTCATCACCCCTTGCTGAAACATCAAAATTTCATTTCTAAATTTTGTATTGCTAGTCAAAAGAAATTATTTTTTAGAAAATTTTCGGCCAAACTCGTCCAAGTATCAATCAAATGAGGTGGTTGAGAATTAAGCCAAATTTTCAGGGGGCGTTTGGTTCGTCGGAATCCGCCGGAATCTGATGGAATTAGAATGGTCAATTTCGTTGACCAAATTCCATTCCAATGTTTGGTTACCTATGGAATGGAATTGAATTCAAAAGATTCCCAAATTTGAGGAATTCACCATTCCTTATCAAATCTGATGGAATTGAATTGAATTCCATTCCATCAAAAAATGTTTAAATGACAAAGATACCCTTTTGCTCCTATGAATGGTTTGGTTTATGGTTGGTTGAATTTTTTTCACCTTTTATGTTTATACATATTTTAATAAATTGTAAACATTTTTTTCCTCATTAAATGTTAATTTTATATTGTTATTTGTGTTAAAAAAATTAAATTAAAAAATAATATCGAAGTAAGGGTATTTTTGTCTTTTTTCATCATTCCATTCCTGCCAACCAAACACTTAGTCAAACATGATAATATTTCATTTCAATTTCTTTCAGATTCCAATTCCTTTGACAGATTACATTCATTCAGAAATCATTTTGCGAATCAAACGCCCCCTTAGCTCTATCTCAATGTATAAGAGAATGGTGTCGACCGTAAGACTTCTATAGTAACTTCGGGAATACGAAAATGATCATTCATTTCTAAAAAGTATTTTAAGTGATAATGCGAATCTTCAAATGGCAATCCCTCACATTGACCCATCGCTTGGATCATTTGGAACATTACTGATATAGGTTTAAAGTGTTGCGTTGTCATATTGGGCCTAAGAATCCCCAAATTTAATTTACCAAATTCGGATGTTGCATGGGACCGTATTCCCCTTTCTATATCATCAACAATTTTAACCATGGTTTCGGTAACCAGAGGTGGTGTCCTCCTCCATTGTCAGCCATCGTTTGATTTAAAGTAGGGTTTTGCCGATTATTTCAATCTCTTCTACGTTTTTTTACGATTCTTTCAATCTCAGGATCAAGCGGTAAAAGTTTACCGCATCATAGCCGTGGCATACAACGCATAAAATGCTTTAAGAAAAATAAACAAGTGACTCATGTTAGAATGAAAATCAATGTCTCAGGATGTAAAATTGCGGTAGTCCCGGAAACGGCGCCAAAAACATGGTAGCAAAAATACACACACATAAACGTGGTACAATGATGATGCAGTTATACACCTAATATCTAGTTTCGTTCAAGATTTCAAGTAATATAATGGTAAAGTACCAATATCATTTCCACAGAGACTCAACTACTGAGAATATGAGATTTTCATGAACTTTTAGTGCAAGTTTCGGTTGTAAGAAAAATTAATATTTTTTGTTGGTGAAAAAGCTTTTAAACAAAAATGAAATTTTAAATAAAGATGTAAGTTTCACTGGAGACAATTTTAGTGTCTCAAAAGTTCTATAAAGCCTCGATCTCCCGAAAGTGAATTTTTATAGACAGTGTCTCCAAAGTTCCCACAAAGTCACCATAACTGCACACTCTAAGTTTGCTGATTGACCTAAGTTGATACAAAAAATCAAAGTTCTATTAGTATGAAGATCTAAACTCAAATCTCTTTGTAAGTAAATCTAGATTAATGTCTGAACCTTAAAAAAATCAATAGAAACTCGTATATCTACGTAACTATCAAAGACTTTCTCAAATTTTGTGCATCACTTAAGCCATATTTTGAATCCGACCATCTTTGGTTCTATAATTTATTAGTAAAATCAAAGTGATCGGCTTATCCACGTTAAGTTAAACTTCAACTTAAATGATCAAACTTAAGAATTAGCTATTTTGGCAACACCAAGTATTGTCTACTAGTCGTAAGTTCAACTTATACCCATATACAAAAAGATATTTAGCTCATAATAGAAAGAGAGAATAAATACTTGCATGAAAATAAGGTTGGAACTACCAACACAATGTATAAAAATTCAAAATACAAAAAATTAAATAAAAAGGAATTAAATGCTACAAATCAAAAACTAGAATTTCAAGAGAGAGAGAGAGAGTTTGAGATATGGAAAATTGGGATGATAAGAATTCTTCTTCAAAAGTCTCGTTAAATAGTTCATATGTGAATACATGAGTTTACATATGAATATATAGTTCATATGAGAATTACACGGGTTCACATATACACTTGTTTTAACATCTATTTATAAAAGTTATGAAACTACCCTTCTATCCTTTGCATACCATGCGAGGAATTATCCGGTATTTCAGAGTCAAAACCGCAAATCTTGACCAATTGAAGGGCTAGGATCAGTTCTCAAATACTTACCATTTCTCAAATGAATCTATGAATATATATATATATATATATATATATATATATATAT